AAAAAAAAAAAAAAAAAAAAAAACCAAGGGGATTTCTCTCCACTTGGGAAATTAGTTTCCATTTTTTGTATGAAATCTTTGGGGAAGATAAAAGGAACACCGCCACACAAAAAGTTGGGGAGAATGCCTGCTCCATACCATATGTTCTTGACCAAATTTAATGGCATAGCCTATTGAGTAATATAATTAGTGTTAATATATAATTCAACTCAGAATGCAATGAAGCCATATATTCCATTCAGTCATCAACAATGGATATTTATTGGACATGATAGTAAGTCAAACTGAAGTATGAAAGGAAACATGACAGAATTCTGAGTGAATATTCCATTCTTCTCACTGAAGAGATGAGATGAATATATAGCACACATTTTCATTTGACATTTAAAACATCCTCCATGTATCTTAGCTAATTTCACATGAATATGAACAATGATGGCAAAATTATAGGTGAATATTATAAGTACAGTAAAATTAGCATTGTGATTAAAGAAAAAAATTAATTTACCAAAGAAAATTAAGTCTGATCTTCATATCCAATAGGTTAAATTTTTGTGTGCTATTTTCAAGCAATTGCTTTTTCAAAAAGGGAAAGGGAGTTAAGTCCTTCAGAATGAATGACACTCAGTTCTGCAGTAAACCAAAATATTGTCAATATTAGGACTTGGAAGTCCTTGACCGATCCTTCCTTTCATCATCCCTATTCAGGCTAGTCAATTTCCCCCCCAGAATCTCCCATTTGCCATTTTCTTTTCTTTCTACTGTCCTCATGCCTTGCCTGGATTTGCTCTTTCATTCATCATTTACCGAGTGCCTATAATCTGCAATGCTCAGGGATAAGCACATTGTTGCTCTTAAGGAGCTCACATGATACTCAATGGAGCTGTTTAAATGCCCATCTTGCTCACCAGGCTGCAAAATTTAGCAAAGGCCTTGTATTCCCAGAACCTAGCAGCATCTGGCATACTCTATAAATGTTTGTTGTATGACTCTATATTACTTTAGTGAGCTCTTTTTAAATCTATAAATATTTTAGTATATATCTTCACAACAGACTCTTTCAGTTCCTTTTTAAATACAAAAGCAATATGTGCACAATGCAAAAATGTGGAAAGGTATAGACAAAAAAGTAATTCTCCTACTCCTTCAATCCTACTTCAGAAGTGACTACTATTCATTCCAATTTGGAATATATCTTTCCAGAACTTTCTTAAGCTGGCATCAAACACACACACATACACTATGTTAAGAAAAAGTTCTTTGACTTTTTCTGACTTTAGTTTCTCAACCTTCTAATCTAATGGTCCTCAAAGTTTCGTCTCTGGATTAGAAGCATTCGCATCATCTGAGGACTTGTTAAGAACTATACATTCTTGATACCTACTCCAGATCTAGTGAATCAGAAACTGTGGCGGTGAGGGCCCCTATAATCTGCGCCTTAATAAACTCTCCAAGTAATTCTGATGTATATTAAAGGCTGAGAGCTACTGCTCCAAGTTCTGCCACTCTCATCCAGCCCAGTTTTTTTTAAACTGTTCTTAAATACATCAGACATTGTCACCTTGCTTAAGTTTTACCACCCTGCTGCAAATTGCTTTCCTCGTCCTCTTGATTAAATGTGACCCTACCAATGTGTCAAAGTCCAGAAAGTCTAACCCCTCTCTCAAATGTTCACTAACACAGTGAATACTGATCCCTCTTGCCTTGCCCTCAATTCCTGAGACATGTCTAAACTCTCTACCACACAGTTTAACAATTAGGCACACTTCAATGTCTTCAATGTTAAAGAGTATTCTTTACTATTCCTCAACAGAGCACAGGCTCCTTGAAGACATGAATCATAACTATCTCTTCCTCAACCAGGTTCTAAGCACACAAGTGAAATTTTAATAGAGTTGCTGGTTAATGCCCTTAAAAGTTGAATTCACCCAGAAATACTGAAAGCTTTAATGAATAAAATCTGGAATTTCAAGTTGTTTATGACCTTGGACAAGGTTTGCAAAAGGGGAAAGTGTGGAGTCAGTGACTGCATGCTTCCTTTCAACGTGAACAGTATAAGAAGATACAAAAGGCCCCATGCTATAATATCTTATGCCATTATACTCTCAATACTGTTTTGTTTAAAAGGTTATTATGACAATTTTTAGAGTTGACTTCAGTTACAGTTAGATATGGTCTTCCCCAGTTAGCAAGTAAATTCTTTTAATAAGAACCATGTTTTATTCAACTGTAAATCTTCTACCATTCCCAGCACCAAGCCTTCAATTTAATAAAAGCTCAAAATATTTGCAGGAAATTATTTGGAAAAACTCTCTTAAAAGTTTTATTTAAGGCCCTCCCTGGTGGCGCAGCGGGTTAAAGCACTGCACTGAGAAGCTAAAGCCACTTCCACATGAGTTCGATTCCCGCCTGCCCCGGAGGTGACCACATGGCGCGGCAGACCTCTCCTGACCCGCCCGCTGCTCCCCTCAGCAGTGTACTTTGTCGATCTGCCTGTTCTGCTCCCCACTCTGTCTCTGGTGAAGCCTCTCACCGCCCCTGAGCCTCTGGCCTGTATGCATAAATAAATAAATCTTAAAAAAAAAAAAAGTTTCATTTAATACCAGAGACACTTTACAGAGGTGGAGTGGGAGATGGGATAAAAAATGTGGAGGGGGTAGGAAGTGAACTGGACTATGGTGATGGCACAAAGATGATTTGGTGATGGGAAGCCCAGAGGGATTACAACTGAGATGAAAAAAAGGCACAAAATGATGTATAAATAAATTATTATATTATAAAAAAGTTTTATTTATGTAGATCACCTCTATAAAGACCTACTCTCCCAAAGGGTCCTTGTAAACAGTTATTATAAGTATTAGGAAATAATCTGTAAAAACTATGATTATTATGACATCAGGGGAGTCAGTCACATTATGGCAAAAGAATATAACATGAATCTCATATGCATTTAGGGACACCTAAAAGACTGTAAGTCCCAGGCTCTCGTACTGCAACAAAGCAAATAAAAACTGCCCTGTACACTTAAGTAGCATATACCAACTCCATTGTTAGGAATAAACAGATTTCTTGATGCAGGACCTTTATCTGCAAATTTTCAGAAACAACAGGGTAGACCAAAGCCCTCTGAACAGCAGGTGATCCAAAAATTGAATCTAAAAGGAGGGACAGCAAAGAGAAATTGAAGCGCAAGGAGGGTGGGGAGAGAGGACATAAGGACAGTATAAAGATACCACTCCTTGCAGGAGTTGAAAAGGAGCAGTGGAAATTCACTGACTCTTTACCAAGGGCCTACTACAAACCAATCCCTGAGGCTGCAAAAATGACTGCACCTCAGAACGCTCAGAACGCTAATAATCACAAGGCTAAGAGTGAAGACTATCCTATTCTAAGTGTGTGTATATATGTAGATGCAGGTGGGGGGAGAGAGAATGAGAATGTGTATGTGTGATTCTAATTAGGAAAATCAAGCAAGGAAGACTTCATAGAGAATGTGGTGGTGAGTTATGGAGCTTTGAAGTGTGTAGGAGGATTTGCTAAGGGAGAAAATAAGACAGTTTGAGCTAGTTATTTTAAGAAAGAAACAGTCACATATTTTTATAGCTGTTCCTCTGGGTCTTTAAATCATGGAAGTTTATTACATTCAGCTCCACTTTGACAATGCACTCTTCCTTTTTTGTTCTAGTTTAAATACTGAGATGATCAAGCTCAGCATTGAAAACAATCAGAAAGCGCCAGAATAAGGTGAGTGTCGGCCAAATCTGCTCTGTCACCTCCAAATCCAACCAGCCCAGCTAGCTTGGTCCTGCTCTCCTGGCAGCCAGGAAAGGAAGACTAATTATATCTTTCTGGAGGCCAGGCTAGGCTGCAAATCTGGATGCAGACAGCTAAGGCTTACCCCTGTTCTGCCAGTATACCACCAGGAGAGCTTCCCTGCCTTTTGAGCCATGAGATTCCTAGTCTACCTGTGACAGGGAGGCCAGCGCTGCAGAAAAAAAAAGCTGCATGAAAAGGAAGGGGGGAGGGGTCATACTGAATTGGTTAGCATTGAAGTATTAAGTGAGATAATCTTAATAAAATGTTTAGTAAGATCCCTGTCACACAGCATGCAATGGATAAATGTTAGCTCTTATTAATAACACTATCACTATTATTATCAACACTGTAACATCTCAATTGTAGGACAAAAAAATACAGTGTTTGCAACCTACTTTTATGACGTTCATAAAGAACTTGTCCAGAGATGACAAGTTTATTTCAAATTGTTTAAATGTTGGTGTCAATATCTCATTTCAACTGCGCTGGCCAGAAAGCCAGAGCCCCTGAGTTCAAGAGTTACCTCCTACCCCCATCAGCTGCTTGACCTTGGGCAGGCCACTTCACCGCTCTGTGCCTCAGTTTCCTCATTTATAAAGTGGGGACTAGGAAACCCCTCTGTCGCAGGGTGGCCTTGGTGTCCCGCCAGAGGATGCCATTTGCTGCGCCGAGGACAAACGAGAGCAAGGTGAGCTCAGGGCCCATCTCCCAAGCGCCCCCGGCACTGGCTCGGGTCGGGTCCGGTATATGAATGCCCCGAGGCCGACTGAGCTCCAGTCCTACAGAGCAGGACTGGCGCCGAAATGGGGGTCGTGCCTGCGGTGGGTCCCTATAACCGAGGCTGTCGGACGCCCGGAGGCTCGGCCCCTGCAGTCCTTAGGCTGCAGCCGACAGGTTCGCCGAGGGGCACCACGGCCCGGGCGCTGGGGGCAGCCAACAGAGGCCGGGTTGACCCGGGTCCCCAGGGCGGAGGGCGGCCAGGGGACCCGAAGAAGGCAGGCAACGCGGGCCCCCAGCCGCCGAGCAGCACAGATGCGGCGGGGAAGGAGAAGACGTGGGGAGTGACGCCCCCACAGGCAGCACCAGGCGCCCCCCACGGGCAGGGCTGAGGCGCTCACTCACCTGAGGCGCGGGTATCCGCCGTCAGTGCAGCACGGGCAGCGGCGGCAGCGGCGGCAGCGAGGGGCGGGGGGTTGGGGGAGGTGGAGAGGCTCTGGGCTGCGCAGGCGCGCTGAGGAGCCCGAGCCGCGCAAGCGCTCCGCGCACGCCAGCCTCGGGAACTACCGTGATGACGTGCCGGCCTGGAGGGGCCGGTGGCGCCACCTTGCAGGTAGTTTTCCTTGCAGCAGGGTCTGCTCGGAGAACGTTAAACAGGAGCTGCCGGGGCGGGAAGGTGGAGGGGAGGGCAAATGCGTTGGGTGGCTGGCCTCCTCCCCCTTACTGAAACCCCTAAAAGCCCGCGCCTGGCACGCGTCCTCCTGCTTATGCTCTGACAGGTACCCAAGGTCATATGGCGTCTAGCAACTTGCTTAGAATTTTTTGATGAATAAACAAAAATTTAAGAACTAGGATCCAAGACTCAGGGTTTCTTGAGCATGCCATGAGAAATGCTATTTTTGAGAATCACACATTAATTTAAGCTTCATGACTGAATAGTTCAACACCAAAATGAATGTAAAATACTGTTTATTAAGTATTTTTCTGTGCTTTATTTTGTTTAGCCATTGAGGACACAGATGAAGCCACATTCCTCACCCTTGGGTTTGAATAAATCCTTTTTAAAGTTTTTTTTTTTAATTTATGCATACAGGAACCAGGGTACAGGCCAGAGACAGGGGGAAAAGGGTGGTGAGAGGACCCACCAGAGATTACTGAAAAACACTGCTGAAGGGAGCAGAGGGCCAGACAGGAGAGGTCTGTTGTGCCATGTGGGCCAGCTCCCTGGCAACTCAAGGTAGTGAATGCTGATAGCTTGAAGTGCTGACTTTAACCACTGTGCCACAAGGAAAATCCTGAATAAATTCTTATAAACAAAAAATGCAATACATATAATAAGTAAAATAGGGAAGTTACAATCACTTTTGGATAGGTGAGGATAGGATTCATTCCCAATTCTGTAGTCTCAGCTCTAAAAAGATTAATAGCTCTGCTCTGCTTCTTAAAAACCCCAACTTCCTGTGGGGTTGTCCAAAGTTTCTCATCTTGTCCTACTCTAGATAATATCCATCCTTGAGCCTTTAATAATTAATTACGTTCCAAGGTTCACACTTTCCCACCCAATTTCCCACTTGTCATTACTAGCTTATTTCATTAACTGCTTTTATTCATCCAGTTCAAGCTTTCATACCCTTCATACTAACACTGTTCCAAATTTATAATCTAACTTTTACAATATCCTGTGATAGTAGTCTATCACTCTTCCATTCTCATCTCATTCATTGTCCAGTTAGGCGTTTAACACATAATCCAAGCACACTATGTTCTACAGATTATAACTCCAACAGCCCAACTTATTCAACCACTGCCAACACCCAGTACAGGCCAATGTTTCTTACCTGGACTACTCCAACAGCCAGTTGTCTCTCACATACCTGCTTCCTGTATGTTCTCCACACTAGTGATATTTTAAACTTTTGATGCACTTCCTCCCTTAAAATCTTCTAATGACTTTGGACTATCCTTGTCTCAACTGGTTCTTCTACCAGTACTCCCATAGTACTACACTTTTGCTATGAGACAATGCTTCATTCCTTCCCTCTTCAGGCCTTTGAAAATGCTGTCCCTGGACCTTCGTGGCTCAGTTAGCTGGATGTACACATGCGAAAATGTTCCTTCTGTCTCAGTTTCTTACCCTATTTAACTCTATCTTTCCTGAGTCAACTAAAATATTGCTTCTGTGGGGTTGTCTCTTTTATTTTCTGGTGTCCCACTAGTCTATACGCATCATGCATTTTTGTTCTATGCTTTCTCCCTAGTTCCTAGAACTGTGCCTTGCAGACAGTAGGAGCTCTACAAATAAAGAATGAGTACAGGTTAAAGTAAGGGGATTTGTCCATCTCTAACTGGTGCTTAAGACTTAAGATTATGACTGGATATTTAAATGAAATAGGTTTTCTCCTTTTAGGAAGATCAGAGAACAAGAAATATCAACAATAAATCAGTAGGTATTTTACTGGTAGTGTTGATGTATATTTCCACACCATTGTTCACTTCTACATCAAGGCAAACAATTGTATTTTCTGCTAGGCCTATCCTGTCTTTAAATTGCTCTTATACACTCAAAATATACACAAAGGCAAAAGAAAGTCTTTAATTATGTGAAATTTTATAATGCAGATTATTAACAATGAAAAGGAATACTTAGTCCCTTCTTGCCATGAATCCAGGATTTAGGACATGAACTCAATATTGAAAGCCAAAGCACACTATAGACATCAGGGCATAGAGAACAAGTACTGTTGCCTCCCATTTGTATACTGTGAAGTGTTAGATGTCTTAACATGATGCAAATAATGTTCTAACTCCTTTACCTAAAATCACCTTCAGAGTTACATGAGATAATCAGTCTCAATCCTTTACAACTAAAACCTAACCTGACCCCTAAGATATTTCACAGGCTTTGGTCCTAAATGTCTGAATTGTCTGAAAACCTAAATATCATCCTCACAAAATGAAGATTGCTGACAGTGAAGGATATAAGAATGGACCACTAATTCTGAAGGTCATTCCAAAACAGAAATTTAAATAATACACACATTCTTGGGGGAAAATGCCAGTACTCTTCAATGTATAAACCCCATCATTTTGTGGGGCAGGGGGATTGAAGTGCTCTACAGTCAACTGAGGGCAGCAATCCTCAGCTCATACCACCACAGCTGCCATGTGCTGGCCTCTTCCCAATCCTCTCCTTAAAGGGTGTGTGGCAGAAAAGCTGCGTAAGGTCACTAACAAGATCCAGAGCAATGTGTGGTAGGTGGGTTTCACAGCTGAAGCTTGAGCAACTTTCGAGCTGGTGAAGGGTCTAATTGTTGTGTGCTTCTCTTCCCTGTAAAGGTAAGGAGCCAAAAGACAAACTTCAGTACACTTGAAATAACATTTTTGAAAACACACTAAATGAACAATGTGCCAGAGACTAAAGGACACTACAATGATAAGTAAGAGTCTCTGTCCTCTGTCCTCAAGGAGATAGCATCTGGTGGGAAAGCGAGCCGCAACCATTATCATAAAACAATGTGTTAGATAAGAAAGTGAAGGGATGTGTAACAAATAATTAAGTACTGGAAGTCAGGAAAAGCAATGGAGAAGAAATGCCAATGTTATTTAGTAGATTCTTTAGAAATGAAGAGAAAAAAGCAATGGGTGTTTCTTTAGGCTTTCTTGGATTTACCAAAACACAGTTCATGGGGATTTAATTCTGTTCGCTATGCTTCTATACATCTAAATTTCCCATCAACTCTGAGTACCCACAACAAAATAGTTATTGCACCTGATAGAGGTTTTATCCTCAGAGGCTTTGTGCTTCGAAAGGCAGGCTGCACCCAGTGATTTATATCAGATATAAAACACCCCAAGCCATGGTCCCTTAAAAGACTTACCAAGCTGTACTGACACCTTCTGGAGGCACTGGGTACTTTCGTCCATAAACGCATGCAGCTGCTTCACTGATCCCTGCAGTTCATCCATCTGTTGGAGAAAGAGCTATGGGCTGTAGGGTCTGTGGCTTCTTTGATGCTCCCCAAATATGCCAGTGAAGCTCCTACTGAAGGTTTACTTCTGCTATTCTTTCAACCTGGAATGCTTTGCCAGACATTTTCTGCCAGGAATACGGACCTATAAAACATCTATTAACAGGACTCTGTCCTCTGGCTTTTGGTAGGAATTGGACAAGAAGAAGCCCAAGTACGAGGGAGCTGAATGAGGTTAAGGCACTGTCACTTAGGCTTGCTAGGGTCGACTCAGCTTTGTCTTTCAGCTGAAGGTCATGATTTTCTAAAGGGCCAATTGTGACTTTCTCCCTTCAGGTGCCACAGTGACTATTCTCCCTTCATGCCTAGGGAAGGGAAAGTAAGAGCTCAGTTGCCTTTAAGCCCCAGATTACTTCACTAACCATTATGTTTCCCCAAAATTCACATCTGTATCCATACCCTTATAATTTAACTCCTTAAATTATCCTCTATCTAGTGCCATTGCCTTCCTGTTGATAATTGGATTAATACAGTGCTAATTTCCCAAGTGCCCTCACTTCCTCATTTATTTCAAATCTGTTAAAATGGCACCTTAGGAGGGGCCTTCAAGCCTTCAATTAATACCCTATCTAGCAACCGGCTGCCTTCCCTGCACATTCTCTCCCCTTGGCCCTGATTTATTTGCACTTTTCACCAGCTATTTGTTTTTTATTGTGTCTCCATGGTTCCCCAAGATTGGGCTGAATATACTTGTTTCATCTTATTACATATATTCTCCAGGTCTTTGAATGTCCAAGGATGATACACAAAGTAGCAAAGCTAGATAATTCAACCAATTAAACATGAGCCAACTCACCATCAACTCCATACAATCAAAGATTTTGTTCTGGCTCTGTAATATTTCCTGGTAGTCAGGTTTGGTGTTAAGGATTTCACTCTGGGAAGACCCAAGATATGCTGTAGGTTCCACTTCAACTTCAGTATCTATGTTTTCAGTTGAACCTCTAAAAAAAAAAAATTTTTTTTCAAGGAATTTTATAATCATTTTCTGGGAAAGATATGAAAAAATACCTAAAGGTGAAAAACGTCCTATAATGCTTTACTAACCTGAATCAATATTCTTCCATACTACTTTAGATATAGGCTCTCTTAATCAAAGGTCCTGCCTGCTGGGTGCCGAGGCTGCTAAGTATTTTCCATTTAACATCATTAAACACTCACAATAACCAAAGGAGGAAAGTGCAAATAGTATCCCCAATTTCAAATGAGGAACTACAGGCTTACATTAAGTGATTTGTCCAATGTCACAGAAGTAAGGAATAGTTAGGATCTGAGTAGAACAGCCTACTTCCAGCAGTATTCCAATTAAATCAATTATATCCCATGAAACATTGTATTCTGAAACTGTCACCTTACACATTATCTAGCTTCTTAAATATAGTATGTAAAGGGTGAATAACTGATAATCACCAATACTTGAATTAGTGACTCTTTCAGAAAGTGTTCTTCAAAATGCCTCTCTACCAAGAGGTCACTTTTGTAATTAAGGCTTTAGCTAACATCCTATAGTTGAGTTTCTAGCTAAGTCTGTTTGCATGGGCCTTCCATGGTGAAACAATGGATTAAAGTGCAGCATTATGAAACTGTCCGCAGCCACTGCAGCATGAGTTCAATTCCTGGCTAGGGAAGTAACCGGCATGGCGTGGCAGACCTCTCCTGTCTGGCCCACTGCTCCCCTCAGCAGTGTATTTCAATTTACTTGTGCTGCTCCCAACTGTCTCTGGTGAACCCTCTCACCACCACCCTTCACCCAACCTTTGGCCTATACCCCAGTTCTTGTATGCATAAATAAATAAAATCTTCAAAATAAAAAAAAAAGTCTGTGGCCCTCCATGATGGTACAAAGGGTTAAGACGCAGCACTGAAAGCAAGCAGCAGTCACTTCAGTACGAGTTCGATCCCAGCCCCAGAGGTGATCCACATGGTACAGCAGAACTCTCCTGTGTCCCTGGCTGCTCCCCTCAGTATACTTCATTGGTCTGCCTATTCTGCTCCCCATTCTGTCTATTGTGAAGCCTTTCACCGCCCCTGCACCTCTGGCTTGTACCCCAGTTCTGTATGCATAAATAAATGTATCTTTTAAAAAAAAGTCTGAAAAAAAATTTTTAATTCTGTACAGTATTTTTTTTAAAAAGTCTGTTTGTGGAAGGGATAAAAGCTTAAACCATTGGTTTAAACAGTCAATTAGAGCCCTCCATGGTGGCACCACAGGTTAAAGCATAGCACTATGAAGCTATCCACAACCACTGCAGCACTAGTTCTATCCCTGGCCAGGGAGGTGACCCACATGGCACGGCGGACCTCTCCTAACCCTCCTGCTGCTCCCCTCAGCAGTGTATTTCAGTCAAAATCTGCCTGATCTGTTCTCTGCTTCCCACTGTGTCTCTGGTGAATCATCTCACCTCCCCCACCTCTGGCCTGTATCTCAGTCCTTGTGTGCATGAATAAATCAATCTTTTAAAAAAAAGACAGTCAACTAAATGAATACCTGGCATTTCCCCACTTTCTTATGCCTTCAAAACCAAAGATCCTCTCTCATATACTCATCCATCACCCCTTTTCATGTATTTCCATCTCCATGAAGGCCCCAATCAGTTTCCTTCTACACCTGTATGTAGCTCAAAGGTCACTGGCTCACTGAAATCCCTTGACTACTGCTCTTGACCCAGCCCCTGGTACTTGGCAGAGATGTGCCTGTTACCCCAAGATGCAGACATTAGTCAAAGACAGCACAGAGGCAATTCTGTTTTGAAAATGTCATACCAACTTTTCCTTACCTTTCCCTTCACCCTCCAGTTAGTCAGAGTGCTAAATAAACACTTTACAGAGCTTCTGATTAGTTGACCCATGATAAAAGATTATCATTCAATTTGTGCTAACAGAACAAAAATCAATTAAAATCAAACACCACAGGTAAAAAGATAGCTAACTATTTAGAGTTCTAACCTGGGCATTATCTCTTGAGCCTCTGTCTGGTAGTGCTGCAGGAGCTGATCCCAACTCTGACGTTCTAAAGAAAATCTATAAATTCAGAAAAACAAAATTCAGTTGAATTTTAATCATTTCATTTTGAATCACTCAAGGCAACAGTAAGTGCATTAGGTATAAATTCTGGTTCTCAAATGTGAATGAAAAGGTCATTCAAGGGTTAAGTATAACTGATTCAGAGGATAATTTAATCAAATGAAGCATGAGTTCTTAAATCAAATTAGCATCCTTTTTACTTAGTCTCCATTCTATGAAACTGGCCTTCAGCATAGCACAAAGATCCCTATTTGCAGCTAGTTTCTAACTTCTAGTGTTGATACACTAGTACTGACACTCTGAACCAGATGTTTACTATACATTTTCTGAGTCTTTGTTAACCCCAAGTAAATTTACATTTTCCAACAAAGCTTTGCTCATTTTCACTTACTTTCTTATATATTCCTTCATCTCAGCCACAGATGTTTCCATAGACAAGTCTGATTCTGTTCTAGTATACAGAAAGGAATGAAATTATCACAAATCTTTTAAGAAGTACTTATTAACATGATACCTTATGTAACTTCAATGGCATTAAATTACATTCAAAATTTATTTTCCAACAAAGTATTTTTTTTTGGACTCTTACTTTTGCACTAGTTAGTCACTATTTAAATGGTATTTTCCTCTTCCATTTCTCAATTCCAATTCAAACAAGTTCACATTTTCTTACAACCTGGCTTTAATTTTCTCCCTTTGCTTAAAAGCACTGTGACTATCCATTGCCTTAGAAAGAAAAGTCAAAATTCCTTAACCTGAAACTTCCAGCTTGTTCTGGTTCCAGCCAGTTCACCAACTTTGATTCCTGCTACCCTTTATCTATTGTCTCATTAATCTCACTCAGATTTACCTCAAATACCTGGGTTTTCAATCTCTAAACTTTTGTTGACATCATTTTCTAGTTTCTTCCCCTCCCATAAACCAAAACCTTAACTTTTTTAAAAATTTTTATTTTTTTAATATAATAGTTTATTTTTACATCATTTTGTACTTTTTTTCCACCTCAGTTGTAATCCCCGTGGGCTTCCCATCACCAAATCACCTGTGTGCCATCACCATAGTCCAGTGTACTTCCCTCCCCCCCCCAGTTTTTGATCCCATTCCCCAGTTCACCCCCAAAAGCTGTCCCTGGTATATAGTTGTTCACTATTATTATTATTTTCTCTCCTGGTCCTTTATACTCCTGCTGTGAGTGAAACCATACAGTATTTTTCCTTTTCTTTCTGGCTTATTTCGCTAAACATGATCTTTCCCAGCTCCATCCATGTTGCTGCAAAAGGCATGGTTTTTTGGGGTTGCTGAGTAATACTCCATTGTGTATATGTACCACATCTTTTTAATCCAGTTATCTACTTTTGGGCATTTCAGTTGTTTCCATGTCTTTCGAATTGTAAGTAAAGCGGCAATAAACATGGGGTGCAGGTGTCTTTTTGAATCAGTGTTTTTGTGTCCTTTGGGTAGATAGATACCTAGGAGTGAGATTCCTTGGTCATATGGAAGCTCCATGTTTAGCAGTTTGAGAAACCTCCAAACAGTTTTCCATAGTGGTTGTACTAGTTTGCATTCCCACCAGCAGTGCAGGAGAGTTCCTTTTTCTCCACATCCTGGCCAACATTTGTTGTTGCTAGTTGTTTTTAGATGTGCCATTCTCATTGGGGTGAAGTGGTTATCTCATTGTGAAAACCTTAACATTTTTTAAGGCCTAACAATACTTTTTCATATAATCTTTCATCTTATCTCTCCACTTAAACTGAAGCTGTCTGTAAATAGGAATTATGTTTTACTTCTCACTGGCTCATCTCAGTTGGGGGATTAATTCTAACAGAAAAGAAACAGGCACTGAAATGCCAGAATTTCACAGATGTACTTGGTACTCAAATTGGCAAAGACAAATGGGTTATGTCAACCTTTTATTTTTCTGCCAAGGCCCGTGATACATGACCTCTTCCTCTGGCTAAGATGCAGCGAGCTGCCTAGGACATGAACACACTAGTTTAAAAGATGTCATGTTGAACTAAAATATTTCCCATTTCCTGAACAGCAATGTTAATTCTAAGGCTAGAAGGTAAAGTAGACCCTTGTGAAATCCAAATTCAGAAGTTTATGTTGTTAGCCCAAGTGATATTATATAGGTAGATGACTAGGCTCCACTCCACAGAGGAACTACCAGTTTAGTTTTTTTTTTTTTTTGGGGTGTGGGGGTTGGATTTTAAATTTTCTGCTAATATTCTTACATGCCAACAGCTATAGAACATTAACTTATTTCTTTGGCCAGCAAGGATACAAAGAATGCTTTTCTTCTCACACTTTCTATGGCTGATTCTGTCTTACCATGCAGATCTCAGTCAAAAGGTCATTAGAGGCCTTCTCTGAACTCCTTGGCTAAAGTTGCCCATTCCCTCAAGTCACAACATATTCACTGGCTTCTTAAGATTGTCATTGTCTGAAATCATTATTCTCTTTGTATTTGACTGTCTCCTGTATTATAATATGTAAGAAAGTTAAGTTTGACTTAATCACTGTTAACTCCAGTATTTAAAAGAATTTGATACACAGAATGAATGAATGAACAACCATGTAATTATAATAAAAAAATTAATTCATTTATAATTTAGAATAGAAAAAGAATTGTCCTTACCCTTTTGAATTTTCAAAACATTTTTGCAGAGTTCCATCACTTTCCAGTCTGTCTGCAAAATGTTTCAATTCTTCAGAAAGGGAAGATGCTGAAGAAAAAATTATTTATTATAAAATAAAAAGAATATAAATGTTCATACCAGGATGTTAACAAAGACCCAGTTCAGGGTCTCCTCTTACATTCTGGTCCTTTCAACCATTAAATAAAGTGGTATAAATATGCTGAAAGATTTCATCCTTTTTTTCTTTTTTTTGGTATGTATAGATAAAATGGAAGGCAATTCCTTTATAGCAATTTTTTAGTGATAGTTTTTTATACGTCATTGGTGAAAAAAGTAGTTTAAAAGATGCATCTGCACTGACATTTTATTGTTTTCAAGAGACCTAAACTGCTGCCACTGGAAGGAAAAACTATAGTCAGGCACACAGGTGCGAGAATAATGAGAAATGCTGGAGGCAAATAAAGAAGAGTGGGTCTATAAGGTCTCTGCTTTGACTTGGAAGAGTCCACAGTTAGCAGGAAGAGAATACAGAGGGGAAAGGAAAAGTCAAATTACTGCCAAGATAACCCTGGCAATACCTACTATAATTACTGTGAAAGTCCAATACTGAGATAAACATTTTAACCAACAAGCAAGTCTGATGTCAGGTATTTTCTAGGTCTTTTAAGTGAATAGCATTAGGTATTTCTGACCATGGATGATTATTTACTTATATGGTAAGGAGAATAATTTCCTCTTAGAAAACTGAAAATTCTTAGGAAAGAAAATCTGTTAACATATTATACAGATGAACAGTTAATTTCCTTAACATAGAATTCTTACAAATCAATATAAGAGGGCAAATATCCCAATTTTTAAAAATGAACAAAAGGATACAGAAAATAAAGACTACACAAAAGATGAAAAACACTTCATTTGAAAGAAAAAGTAACAGTTAAGCCACTTATAACCTATTAAACAGTAAAAAACCTGAAAGTTCAATAAAACTGTTTGGTAAAAAGGTACTGTCATATTTTGCTAGTGAAAGAGTAATTGATACAATCTTTGTGAAAAGCAATCTGATAATTCTTATAATTTCTTTAATTAAAATTCTAGAAATTTACTTTATTTTTACTTGCATATATGCCAAAAATATTGTGTAAAAACGGGTTCAGGGGCCCTCCCTGGTGGCGCAGCGGATTAAAGCACTGCACTGTGAATCTAAAGCCACTTCCGCATGAGTTCGATTCCCGCCTGCCCCAGAGGTGACCACATGGTGTGGCAGACCTCTCCTGACCCGCCCGCTGCTCCCTCAGCAGTGTACTTTGTCGATCTGCCTGTTCTGCTCCCCACTCTGTCTCTGGTGAAGCCTCTCGCCACCCCTGAGCCTCTCTGGCCTGTACCCCAGTTCTATATGAATAAATAAATAAATCTTCAAAAAAAAAAAATGTTTTCATTGCCCATTTCATTTTGACAGCAAGCGATTAGAAAACAGCCCTAAAATATATCACTACTAAGAACTGCTTAAATCAAATATGTACATTTATAAAAGAGAATAGCATGTGGCTGTTAAAATGTCAAGACATATGGGTTAAATGGAAAAATCTGCAAGATTAAGTTAAAAAAATAAAAATACAAGGTATAGGACAGTGAAGAGTATTTTGCATTTGATGTATAAATGTCTGGAAATGCAATAAATCTCTCTGGAAGAACTCATGAGAAGCTGGTGGCTGTGAGTGCCTGTGAGGAGAGGAACTGAGAGTGGGTCTGGGAGTTTCTGAACTTCATAAGCATACATTCTAATTTTTTTTAATGTAATTTATTTGTTTATATATACTTTACATCATTGTACTTTTTTTTTTGGTAAGTTTATTTTTACATCATTTGTGCCTTTTTTCATCTCAGTTGTAATCCCCATGGATACATTCTAATGTTTTTGTTTTTTTTTTAAAGATTTATTTATTTATGCATACAGAACTGGGGTACAGACCAGAGATGCGGCGGTGAGAGAATTCACCAGGGACAGAGCGGGGAGCAGAACAGGCAGATCGATGAAATACACTGCTGAGGGGAGCAGCAGGCGGATCAGGAGAGGTCTGCCGTGCCATGTGGTCACCTCCGGGGTAGGCAGGGATTGAACTCATGCGGAAGTGGCTTTAGCTTCTTAGTGCTGTGCTTTAACCCGCTGCGCCACCAGGGAGGGCCACATTCTAACAAGAAAAGAAAAGAGGGGAGGGGGCTTTTGTGCTTTGTGAAGCAGCTGATTTTGTGAAGATCCTATAACTGGGGATCCTAAAAGCGAGTCTTCAACTGACTTTAATAGAAAGCACAGTCTAAGATCAAGGTTAGCACTTACCTTTGGCTCTAAAACTTTCAAGATTGAAGCCCTCAGTACCCCTTAGGAAAGGTTCAAGTTTCTGAACAGAGAACTAAAGAAAGAAAAGCATTTTCAGTACACAAACCAAGATTTTCCAGGTTACTCCAGAGTTAATTTAGTTTTATGTTTAATAAAAGTGAAAGTAAATATGACTTAAGTTTTCTACCTAAGCTTTTCATATAAACAAATCAGGAAAAAAACTCTTTGCTCTCACTGTATAATTTGATTTTTTGGTCCAGGACAAAAGTAATTTAATTCACATGAATGACTTATTTATCTAAATTATATAATCAACAGCTAGCCATAAAATACACAATTTTAAAACTATATGACAAGGGTCTACTCACTTAAAAGGTAGTCAGATTGCAAGTCACAGTTTACCTACATTTTGACCTCCACCTACTTTAAAACCACATCATTTGCTGCCAATCAGTAAAAGATATGAGATGGCGGTGATCTCTGATGGCTAGTCAGCAGCAGCTGCATTGACAGAAGTGGTAGCCAACCCAGCCAGAGAGAAGTCAGCTGCTGGGATTAATCCTGGCTTCTAAATTAATCCAAATTAGAGAGATATCGCTCCCAACAAGAGAAACATGATTGAATCCTAACTGACAAACCACACAACAATGATCTCTCCTTGGGGCTGTCAAAATGACTAAGAAAAAGAAAGCATTTTCCAGACCGTAGAATCTCACCTGAAAACTGGAAAGCAGAAGAGAGCCAAGTCGTTTACTTTCTGCTAAGTTGACGGTGATGGATCTGCTGAGCTCTAACATAAAATATCACAATCAAGGAGCTGGATACTATAGAGTTAGCAAAGTAACAAAACTGAAAATTTTTCTTCCTCATGATGCAGACCAACTTAAGGCAATAATTCCCAAGCAGCATTTCTGATTAAAAGGAGAAGTCATTTACAGTCACATTTTTCCAGGATAACCAGAGAATGAAGTCTACCCATTTGTGCATTCTAATTTTTAAAAAGTTACTAATATCTTTCTATATAATACAGTAGAAACTTGTTTAAGATAAAACAAAAGTAGATAAAAAAATTTAACTTTTTGTATGTTATATATTTACCATTCAAAGAAACAATCTGTGGATATTTGAATATTTTTATTACAGGCACTGCAGTGTGTTTTAAATACATTGTCTTATGAGTTCTCTTAAAATCTATGGTGGTGTGGGGTTTAAGTCTCAGCAATATCAAGCTACTGGCAGCTACTGTGGCATGAGTTGGATCCTGGGCCAGGGAGCTGACGCACATAGCACAACAGACCTCTCCTGTCTCGCCTGCTGCTCCCCTCAGCAGGGTGTTTCAGTAGATCTGCCTGTTCCTCTCCCCACTCCTCTCCACCCCCCACCTCTGGCCTGCTGCCCATTACTGTATGCATGCATGAGCTACTTACTATGCATACATGCACTAATTAATTAATTAACTAATTAAGAAAAAAAGCTAAAATTCCATTTTACATATAGGGAAACCAAAACTCAGAGGGAAGAAAACTTGTCCGAGGCCAGAGATTGGTGAAACCAGAATTCAACCCTGAGTCTCACCAAAACCTGTGTTTTTCCCACTTGCTATGTAAAAGGTATTTTAATAAATGCTCTGCACACCTCATTAAACTGGAGGCAAGTATTTTATCAATTCCATTTACAGATGGTGACACTGAGGCACAACAGTAAGTAACTTACCCAAGATTATATAGTAATCAGTCTGAACTGGATGGTTATTGATGCCCCTGAATCCTCTGACTACTCTAAGATATAAATACTACTTTTTCAATTATGTACATTTAGAAACAGCAATTATATATATATCAAAGGAGGGTTTTTTTTGAGACTTATTGAGATACAATTATTTTACCCTCCAGCTTTAGCTGGCATTGTTTTCAAAGTTCTGTTGACTTCAAACTTGATTACTTCTCATTGCAGTTAGTTCAGATAAGCAGGCTATCTTCTGCTTACAAAGGGGGAACCTGGCAAGAATAGCCAAGAATAACCAGAAGATAACCACTCTTAATAAGTCAGTGATTCCTCTATATGTAGAATTTCAGGTCCCTGTGCTCTGGAACAGAGATGAAGAAAAAAACTATAAATTCCATTTTACAGATGGGGAAACTGAAACTCAGAAAGAATACTTGTCTGAGGCCAGAGACTGGTGAAATCAGAATTCTCCAAATCTCATCAAAACCTGGGGTGCCTTTAGGGAACCTGTGATAGTTCTGTGTGGCACACCTAAGGAGTAAAATGCATGAGCACATTGCAGCAGCAAGCTAAATGTTCAAATGACTGTTTTTTTTACCCACATTTCCTTCTAGACATCAGGCCATCTGGAAATACGGTAGTATTTTTTCAAAAATCACAATAGCTTTTGGACTATTTACTACTATATGTCAAGTTCAATATTACATATCAACTCACTTAATCCTATAAAATAGGTATTATTTTATCCCATTTATTGATGAGGACCATAAGACAAAGGAGTTAAGTAACTTGTTCAAGTTCACACAATTAGTTCTTGCTGAAACATATTAGAGCTTCCACATTAAATTTTTTATGTCCAGGTTTGCTGGTACCATTACTAATGTAAATTCACACAAAATACATTCAAGTACACAATGTACAAAAAGCCAGGTTCTCATTTAATTTTTTTTTAAAGATTTATTTATTTGTTCATACAGAACTAGGGTGTAAGCCAGAAGTGCAGGGAGTGGTGAGAGGCTTCACCAGAGACAGAGCGGGGAGCAAAGCAGGCAGATCGATGAAGTACACTGCTGAGAGGAGCAGCGAGCGGGTCAGGAGAGGTCTGCCACGCCATGTGGATCACCTCCTGGGCTGGGAAAGAACTTGCACTGAAACGACTCTGGCTTGCTTGCAGTGCTGCACCACCAGGGAGGGCCCTTCACTTAATTTTTAATGTGCATCTTCCCTCTGAGATATTTTGCTATATGTAAAGTCTGACTCAGGTAGCAACCTATCCACCTCATGTCCCACTTTGAGGCAAAAAGCTACAAAAAGAAATCTGTAATGCCTCTCATCTCTCTCATCTAACAGAGGTGAGTGCTGAACAACTCTAAATTAAAATTTTTGCTGATGTTATAGATTATAATGTGCAGCTTATGATATAAAGAATGAGCAATAAGACTAAACTTGCATTAAAAAAAAATTTTTTTTAAAGACTGAACTTGAGCCCTCCCTGGTGGTGCTACGGGTTAAAGCACAGTACTATGAAGCTATCTGAAGCCACTCCAACACAGTGGTGACCCACATGGCCTGGCAGATCTCTCCTGTCTTGCCTGCTGCTCCCTCAGCAGTGTATTCCCTACTCTGTCTCTTGTAAATCTCACCCTCTGCACCTCTGGCCTGTACCTTAGTTCTTATATGCATAAATAAATAAATCTTAAAAAAACAAATTGAACTTTTACTAGAGTTTGATAGCTGTATGTAAAATCTTAGGATATCCCTCTTAGAGATGAGGAAACAGGCCGAGTGACTTGCTCAGTCACATGACTAAGTTAAGCTAAGTCAAGCAAAGACAGGTCTATCCTATTGTGCTCTTTCCTCCATACCGCATTGCCTTTTATCTGAGCTGGAACTCCAATGTCTTATGTACATAGCACCCCACCTGTGATGCCCTGATGAAAGGGAGGAAGTGACTTCCGTCGGTTCATGTCTTTCATACTTGCTCGCCGCCAGGACTGTCTTCTGTCTTGATGATGGGCAGACTGTTCTTGAGGGGACAAATGAAGGGATGTGGATTGAAGTCCTTCCTGGTGGCTGAGATCACAACTTCTTCCATTTTTAGGGCTAGACTCATGGTGAATTCTTTCCTGTGAAACACCTTGAGTGATCTCCAGGGAAGCAGACGGTTTATTAGTCAAGTCCACAGGTTTGGGATCTGATTCCAACTGATGATCATGTATCTGAGTTGTCACTGGCTCCTCTTCTAGCACTTGTCATAAAAAAGTCAAAATACAGAATCAAACGCACCACAACTAAGTATTTGTGCAAAAAGGCGGAAAGAGAAAACGTAGGCCCCAGATCATGTAAACATTGAAGAAGCATCTGCAAATACGTTAATTTGTGATCCCAAATCCAGGAGCCAGGAAAGCATTTGAGCATAGCTTAGAAACCTGAACCCAAGGCAAGAAATACTGAATTTCACTACAATACTCACCTTCTACAGTCTCTGACCTATTCACTGAAGTCATCCTGGTGGAGAACCCTGATAATGGGAAAATGAGATTATTTCTTCTCCACATTTCAGCTCCAGTCTTGGTGGTGTTCTGCTACCCCAAGATAATAAGTCTTATACTTCCCAGCCTCTCTGAACTGCACATTCCTGCCCCATCAATTCTACCTACACGATAAAACCCAGTCCAATGTCACCTTACCCACCTCCTACAGAGAATATCAGCAATTTTCAACACTTTCTTTTCTGAAGTTATACAGAACGTATCATTAGTAGTAATAATTATATCTCCTTTAACACACACTCCCCCTCCCCAAATTCTATGTTTAACTAGTCCCTAATTCAGTTGATGGCATTATGATCTACATGGTAGTCTTCCAAACCAAAAAAATCACATCATCCTTTAGTTCCTAACTTTCCAGATCCAAAGTTCTGCCTTTTCTATTTACTATAGTCTGTCCTCCATTTTCAGTTACCAGTTTGGTTCAGCTCTCATAATTTCCACCACTTTCCTCCCTCCTTTACCAATAATCCAATAGCCTTTCCAGTTTTCTAAATCCACCACTGCTCTTCTCCAACCCATTCTGATAGGTTTTTCTATTGTATTCAATATCTTTCATAAATTAGTCCCAATCCATTTATTCCTGCTCTCCCCTGCTATTCCCATTCTCTGTACCCCTTGGAAATCTTTGCATACACTGCCTGCAAAATTCATTCACCCTTCCCAACCTAGCCCCATTGTGAGGATGTCACATCATTTCTCTTTGTCAGTTACTTTCTCTATCCCTTGGTCTCTGTGGGCTGGCTGCCTGTTTACTGTCTCTCTAGGCAACTGACAGGAAGAGGGCAGGAACATCACTGAGAGAGTTCTACATCTTTCATGCGTACTCCTCCCAGAAGAAATCAGTAAGCAGGGGATGCTTAGTAGAGAGAAAATGAATACATATGGAGGAACAACGTAGAAAAGGTAACAGAACAAAGGAGATGCAGGTCAAGAATCTAAATTCCCACAGTAATAGCTGTATCAAACTCAGAGCTAGACAACAAAAAGTATCATTTGTTAAGCTCTTATATGTAAAGACCGCTTTATTTGCATTCTTATCCAATTTAATCCTTGTCACAATTCTGTAAGTGCTATCCTTAACTTCATGTTGCAGGTACAGAAGCTGACACTGAAGTGGTCAAAAGCCTGGCGCTGGCTTGTTATGTAGCTAAGCTGGGCGGAGGCCTGCACCCACCCCCCTGTCTTCTAGACCCCAGACAGTGCAAGCAGGCCCTGAGCGAGAAAGGCGGCCTGCCCTTGAGTTTCCGCTCACCCAAGAGGGAGGTTGGCAGTGTCCCCAGATCCCTCTCTCCGCTATCCTGGCAGCAGCTGTCGGTCCGGGATGGGTGGAGCAGTTCTAACGCCGAAATGGCTAGTGCGGGGATGGGCGGGGCTGCGCCCGGGAAGAGGTCTTTGACTTCCTGACCTCTAGCGACTAGTGCCCGGAGCCTCCGTCCCTGAAACACAAGGCCGTAAGTGACGACCCCGGTCACTGGGGTAGCTCTCAAATCTCTGCGTCGTTACTTCCTGGTCCGGGCGGGCGCGCCGCCCACCGTCTCTTCCACCACTTCCTAAACTCCCGCCAACCAAGGGCGCATGCGCAGCCGGCAACCTCCCGGTTCCCCGCACGTATGGGCACGCAGAGCGGCGTTTCCCGCCCCGCCCCGCGCGCCCCCCAACCCGCGCTTAAGACGCATGCGTATACGGTGTTCCAACCTCTGGCAAGCCCCGCCCGCCCTGCCTTAGTCCAACCCTCCGGATGTAGCCACGTTGTCACCTCCTCACAGCCCCACTCCCTGGGAGTCCCCACCCACTTCAAATTTCCTTTGCGCCTGCGATTACAGAGCCCATATAAGATGGAAAAACAATTAATTGCTGAAGAAATACAGCTCATTAGAGGACATCAGATGTCCACCCTCCCTTTATCTCCTTTATTCCAAAAATGTGACTCTTAACAGACTCTTACGTTCTATTAGAAGACCCCCTATCTTCTTGCAGCCCCACTCGGGCCCTGCTTCTGCAGCCCCTTCAATACAAAGTTTAAGAAAGCCTGAAACTTTGCTGCCTCCTTACAGGCCACACCCTCCTCAGACATTTTACAACTCCTCTGCCCATCCCAATTGCTGCTTCTACTCCTTGACTCAAGTCATTTTCTCTGCCTGGGAAGCTTTTCCATGACTTTCCCTAGCAAAACAATCCAATCTTAATTCTCTCGAAGGATTTTTCTCTCTTAAAGCCTTTTTTGAGACCCCAGACTCCCATGCCCCCAGGAACCCAGCCCATGCCTGCTTTTCTATCCCTTGAAGGTCTGGGAGCCCCAGGCAAACAGGTTGATTATTCAACAGCCGACATGGCACCATCAAAATGCTCCCTCCTTTTCGTGAGTGGTCCTTCCTTTGAGTTCTGAAACCCCAATGTTGAATTCTGAGCAATCCACAAAATCTGAAAGAGGGGTTGGGGAGTAGCCCTAGAGCATGACGGTGGTCATCCTTCCATGCAGCTGTGGTCCATGGAAATTTTATGATGGGAGGCAGAACTTTGTCTTCTTGAAAGTTCCACCTTGTGCCATCTGAAAGTAGATAATCTGCTCTTGTTTCCTTGATAGCACTTTTTGGAGTTCAGCAGTACCCAATTTCGTCTATGTCTCCTCTCTTCCTGCCTTGAGAACTCAGCATTCTCAGCCAGGGCTGGCCATCCTGAGGTACACTGAGATTATTGCTTCATAGAATGTAGACCCAACACATCCCTGATTATGTCCTTTCCCGGCTTTTAATTCTTCATGACTCCCTATTATTCTCATTCCTTTCCTCACTGTGTGAACTGACCCAACCTCTCTTTTCATCACTCCCAACTCCAGTGACACCAGACTTCTTCCAGTTCCCCAGTTCTCTTCTGCTATCTATTTATCACATGTGCTGCTCCCTTTTCCAGGAACCACCTCCCCCAGTGTCCTGCCTACAAATACCATCCCCTTCACCTGGTCAGTATCTCAACCTCAGATGTGTTGACTTTGAGTAAAAATAGTTATTTCAACAACAAAATGGGTTTATTTGGAAACAAACAAGAAAGGACAGATTGGAGAGGAGGTTACGGGATATCCATGGAGGATATTGGAGGAGGTTGATTTTATGCATACAAGAACTGAGATGTAGGTCAGAGGTGCGGGGGTTGGGGGTGAGAGGGTTCATCAGAGACAGATTGAGGAGCAGAACAGGCAGACCTACTACTGACACACTGCTGAGGGAGCAGCAGGAGAGAGTCTACTGGGCCATGTGGGTTAGTTCCCTGGCGGGGGATTGAATTCATACACAGTAGCTGGCGGTAGTTTGATAATGCTGAAACTTTAATCCCTGTGCCACCTGGGAGGCCCAAGCATCATTTCTTGTGGGAGATGCAAGGCATGTTGGGTCCTGCAGTTTGCTGTTTCATGTATGTATGGCAATCTTTCCCGTCTCCCAACCCTATTACATGGGATTCTCAATATGAATTCAGATGTCCTTTCCTCTCTGAAGCCTTTCCTGACTCCTCTCGGCTCCTTGAACACTCTGATTTAATCAGTGTGATTGACATTTGCCTTTTTGTCTTCCAGGTCCATCTATTTTTATATCCTCAATGCCTAGCACAAGCCAGGTTATTGTGAGGTCCTCAAAAAAGACATCTATAGAATTTTGGGATGGTAGCCAGCTTCCCAGAGGTCCCTAATGATCCCTGCTTCCTGGTGTTCATTCCCTGCTTAATCCTTTCTGTGAATAGTATTGGTCAAAAAGATGTTATGGAAATAACATGTGTGTGATTTTCAAGGCTTAGTTATAAAAGACAATATGGCTTCCTCCCTGCTTTCTCGTCACTAGCACCAGAAAATCTAGCCACCATGTTGTGAGTACATTCAAGTAGCCCCATGGAGTGGTCCATGTGGGGAGAAATTGAGGCTTCCTGTTAACCCTGACACACCAAGCAGGAGGGTAACTACTTTACAAGTAAGCCCCAGGGCCCTCCCTGGTGGCACACCAGGTTAAAGCACAGCACTATTAAGTTATCACAGCCACTGCAGCACGAGTTCAATCCCCAGGCAGGGAGTTGACCCACATGGTGCAGCAGACCTCTCCTGTCTGGCCAGCTGCCCCCCTCAGCAGTCCATCTGTCTGTTCTGCTCCCCACTGTCTCTGGTGAATCCTCTCACCCCCACATCTTTGGCCTGCACACCAGTATGCATAAATAAACAAATCTTAAAAAAAAAAAAAAAAGCCTCAGCCGAGCTTTCATCTGGCTACAGCCTGACTGGTACTTGACTACAACCTCATGAAACTAAGAAAAAACCACCCAGCTCCCAAACCCCTGACCCATGGCATCTGTGATATATTCAGTGGTTTAGATAATTATCTATAAATAATTAGCCCATCTAAAATGTCCTATTTTTTCTATAATAAAAAAAATTAAGTCTTTGCAGAATGATTCAAATCCATTTGTCCCTCTGCATTTGTTTCTCTGTGATACTATCACACATCACGGGAGACTCAGGTGTCAGCATTCAGCCAGCCCAAACCAGCCAGCTAGCTGTGGCATTCCCGGGCTCCCTTTCAGGTTTCAAATTTGTTGGGGGTCCCACAACCCACAAGTAAGCAGAAAGGAGGCCAAGTCCATGAAACTGTTCATATGACATACTTTATTTCCAATCTACAGCCATTAAAAACCCTTTGTAAGTTTACACTGTACAGTTATTCTCATGTCTGAAGTAAGACACACAGGCAGAGAGAGCTATCACATGGGACCATGTTTGTCCTAGCACCAATCCATCCTGGGAAGGAGCCTTTGAAGACAGGAGTGGGTAAGAGAGAACAATGGACAGAAGGGGTGGACAGTTTGGCCCAAGGATGCCCTTGGTCCCCTCCCTCCTGAAGGCCTGGGTGTTTGGGGAGGGAGGCCCCAGGGCCCACAACTGCAGGACCCAAACCAGGAAACCAGCTCAGGCAGGAAGGGGCTTTGCAGTACTGGTGAGGGGTGGGAGGAAGACCAGTGTGCGAAGGAAGGATAGCTTCTGGCTCGCTTCCCTACCTCGGGGGGTTGGAGCAGGGTTTTGGCACTGTTCACAAGGTCTCCCTGGGGGTGGGAGGAAGAGAAGGAGCTGGGATGTAGGATTCTTTCTTTGAGGAATTAAGTTTCTTACCATTTGAAAAGAGGTTGTGAGCCTATACTGAGGTTCCCAAAGTGTAATGGATGGTCTGTCTCCTGCCCCTAGGACTCCTGCCCCCTTCCTGGCTGGTACAACCCCACATCACTAAAAACTCAGGCAAGGGGGAGAGGTGAGCAGAGCTGGAACCCAGGCTGGTGCAGGGAAAGGTAAGAAATATGCCTTCTCCCTGCTCCCCAGTTTCCAGGAAGAACATAAGAACATTGTTTTGGTTCTTTAGGGGATGTGGAGAGTTCTCAGTTTCTCAGGAGTCCAGATGAAGTTGGTGTTTTCCATCAGTTCTTGGTCTGAGTTAGCCTCAGTCCCTCACCAGGCTGCACTAATTGCTATTCTAGACCAGTAGCCAGCAAACTCTTGTGTATATAGTACAATGAGTTCTTTCTAAATCCCAGCTTGCTGGGCTCCTGGCTCCTCCACTGCTCTCATTCCTTAGGTCTTGGATAGAGCCATTAATTTGCATTTCTATCAACTTTCCAGGTGATGTGCCTGCAGCTCTGGGAAACTTCAGGTACCTCATCCTTAGCAACCTTGTATGCAAGGCAGTGGTGGGGTGCTGGCCACAGCTGGAAACATCCAGCCTTGGAGGCAACAAAATATTTGGAAAGCTGCTGGCAATCGGGTTTTGGTGAGCCCCCACCTGTGCAGAGAAGTAAGTTAAGGCACAGAGATCAGTGGCACAGCTGAGGGAGAAGCCAGGGCCCGATGGAGAAAGGATGGTGATACAGAACCCCCAAAACACAAGGGATACTCTGAGGCACACAGGGGTCAATGCAGTGTGCATTATAAAATGATAGAACCAGTCAAACTCAGAGAAGTGAACAGGTCTGTGCAGACCTCAGCAGGTCTCCAGGCTCCTGGTTGAGGTTCCTCTTCACGGGCACAGTCTGAGTGGTGTCAGGATGGAGCTAGGCAGCCAGGCCCCAACTACCTCAGCCTCTCAAGGATGCTTAGAAAAATCCAAAGCTCCCTTCCTTGGGGCCTGGGATCCAGAGGGCTGGTGGAGGGTAGGAAGGGAAGGGACAAGGGCTGATAGGACCACAAGAATGGGCCCAAGGAGGCTGAGAAACAAAGGGCAGGGCAAGGTTGTGGGGAGGAGGCCCAGCAGGGGACTCAGGCCCACATCATGTCCCCATTCCCCTTTGGCTCTTCTGCCTGTGGACTTTACAAATTTCAAATACTGTTGGGAAGGGTTGTGGGAAGGGTGTGGGGAGCCAGGGTGAGCTATAGATTCTGTCAGGAAGTCCTGCACCTAGAAGCTCAAGGGAGAGCAGAGAATGGTGTAATGTTAAATGGACAAACAGAAGGTTGGATGATCAGGGAGGAGATAAGAACCCAAGTCGTGCTGCACTTGCTATACAGCTAAGGCCATGCAGGAAGGGAGTTGGCTCACCCAAGGTCACACAGCAAATTAGAGGTAGACCC